GAACTGAGAAATCAGGTGAGGGGACCCCAGGACACGGGATGGAGTCTGGAGAATGGCTTCCATGTGACTTCATCCCCTTGTGCCATCATCTCTCCAGAAGTGGTATGTGCACCCCCCACCGCCTACATCGACTTTGTGCGGCAGAAGCTAGATTCCAAGATTGCTGTGGCTGCGCAGAACTGCTACAAAGTGACTAACGGAGCCTTTACCGGGGAGATCAGGTGAGATGCAAGCGTGAGAGGGGCGCGTGGGGGCTCTGCCCTCAATTTCCTCACTGAGGGGAAGCCAAAGGGTGGGCTCTCAGCTGAAGCATGGCCTTCTCTCTCTTCCTTTAGCCCTGGCATGATCAAAGACTGTGGAGCCACATGGGTAGTCCTAGGGCACTCGGAAAGAAGGCATGTCTTCGGGGAGTCAGATGAGGTTAGTAACCAGGAGGAGGAGGTAAGAGATGCCTTATCCAGGAGGGGTGTCTCACCAGATCTGTTACCCAACAGCTGATTGGACAGAAAGTGGCCCACGCCCTGGCGGAGGGACTTGGAGTCATTGCCTGCATTGGGGAGAAGCTAGATGAGAGGGAGGCTGGCATCACTGAGAAGGTCGTTTTCGAGCAAACCAAGGTCATCGCAGGTAACTCTGTAAAAAGGGACCTTTGAACTGGGAAGGGCTGTGGAGGCACAGAAGGTGGGGTGAGATGCCCTGCAGCCCAATTTGACCCCCATCCCAGGCTGATACAGGAAAGGAAGGAGGAAGGTTAGAGAACCCTTGCATCATCCAGATCGCTTGTGTTCCTGCCTTGGATGTTAGAGATGCCACTTGGAGTTCCTCCAGTAGCCACCAGGGGGCATTAGGGCACCATCATCATCATTCCCTGGGCTGAGGGCGGGCTTGTTCCTTCGTGTTCACTCTTCCACCTGTGATCTCTGTCCCACAGATAACGTGAAAGACTGGAGCAAGGTTGTCCTGGCCTATGAGCCTGTATGGGCCATTGGTACTGGCAAGACTGCAACACCCCAGCAGGTAACCAAGCCCAGGAACTCTGCCCTCACCTTACCCTGCCTTGGTAGGACTAGACTGCCACAGAGATCACCTGAGCCAACCCCTCGGGTTTAAAGACAGGAACCCCCCGGGGCATCTGCCTGGCTCAATCCGTAGTGCATTTGACTCGTGATCTAGGGCTCATGAGTTCAAGTCCCACACTAGGTGTAGAGATTACTTTAAAAATACCTACAAAATAATAATAACAATGAGCCCCCCCAAGCCCAGAGAAGGAGAGTGATTTGTCCAAGGGCATCCATTCCGGGGCCTGGGTGGAACCGGAGCTGTGGTATTCTGACCCAGATCGCAGGGCTCTTGTCCTGAAACCACACTGCCTCTCCTCCGTGGGGCCCAGGGTCTTTTAGCCTCTGAGTGGAAGGCAGAAAGAGGCTTATGTAGCCTGGCTTCTCGTTCTAGGCCCAGGAGGTACATGAAAAGCTCCGGGGATGGCTTAAGTCCAACGTCTCTGACGCGGTGGCTCAGAGCACCCGTATCATCTACGGAGGTAAGTGGGTTTGGCTCCAGCCCGAGCTGGGGGTGGACTTGGCCCTCCAGCCCCTTCCCTGACCATTCCCTGTCTCTTCTCCCTTCCCAGGTTCTGTGACCGGGGCAACCTGCAAGGAGCTGGCGAGCCAGCCTGATGTGGATGGCTTCCTCGTGGGCGGCGCTTCCCTCAAGCCCGAGTTTGTGGATATCATCAATGCCAAACAATAAGCCCATCCACCTCTCTTGCTCGTCCTGCTAAGCCAGGGACTAGGTAGCTCAGAAGCCCAGTGACTGTGCTCCTACCCCCCCACGCACACACCCCCACCCCGCACATGCTTCTGACAGTGTCACCTGCCCCCCTTGTGGCCAGACGACTATACCTCTTCCTTACTGTTTACACCTCACCCTGTAATGGTCGGGACCAGGCCCACCCCTTCTCCACTGACTGTAGTGGTTGGAACTAAACACGTCACCAAGTTGGCTCCTCCTTGGCTGAGAGGTGGAATTCGCTCATGGGTCCTCCCTCCCCTCGCCCCGCTCGGGCCCCAGTGAGGGGAGGAAAGAGAAGCCATCCTGCTCTCCTGTCTCGCGCCATGAGGCCAAGGGCCGAGAGAACATCCTGCTCTCCCCTCAGAGGCCAGGGGTGCTTCTCTCCCATGGCGCCAATGCCTGCGTGTGTTGTGTCTGTGAGCAATCCCACGTGTGGGGGAAATAAACACCTGGCACTAAGTCTTGTGGTTTGACCTTCTTCACTGTCCTTGCCCATTTACCTTCTTTTTCCTTTGTGCGGCAGCCACAGGACACTTGTACCAAAAAAAACAAAAAACAAACACCCCTCCGCACACACACACAAACAGGTTTCTACAACAGCACATCTCTTACTGTTTTTACTTGAAAAAGTGTCCTGCGTATGAAGCCACCGTAGCCTTGAATAACAGCTCCCTCCCTTCCACCCCTCTGGATGGCTCTGGGGGTGTAGGGCTCCCCAGTGTTAGGGTTGGGGTAGGGGCCCAGCCTCACCAGCCCCTCCCCCCCCAATGGCGTTAAGTAGCTGGTCTAGGCCAGCAGGGCCTCCTCCCCGCTCCCCAAGGGACGGATGGTTCTAAGGCGCCAGCACAATCTGGTATCACAGAGGTCACTGGTAGAGCAGGTAGCGCTTCATGGCAGGGGGCAAGGGCAGAGCAGATACCTGGCCGAGCCTGGTATCCCCCAGGGCGTGGCGCACGCACAGGCGGCTCAGGTGCAGAAGGGAGTGTGGCTCCGCTGGGAGAGAGAAGGAGGGGAAGGTGAGTAGGGGTGCAGCCACCGGCCAGACCTCCTCAAACTACAGGCTCTTGCCCAAGTTCTCCTCTGCCTTCCTGCTCTGAGTCTTGGCTGAGAGGGAGAGCGAAGGCACCCTGGGGCGGGAGGCTCTGCACGTTTATCCCCGGTCAGCTGGGGGCGAAGCTCCAACTAAGGCCCTGTAAGCAAGAGGCCAAGCAAGTTATGACAGTGGCAGAGCTGGTCTAGGCTTTGATTCCATAGAGCCTTGGAGCTGGGGTGATGAGCCCTCCTCCGCTCTGTAACAGCCGGCCATGGGGGATGGGGGCAGCAGTACTCTAGGGCTTGCAGAGAACAGTTCAATGAGCCCCCCAGCTCTGGCTCCCTCCCTTTTAGAGGAGGCCCCTCCCCTGAAGTCCCACCCCAAGGCCCTGCCTCTTTCAGTGCTCACCTTCCAGGGGGCCCAGGGCCTCAAAGGCCCCTTACTGGGATTTGAGAAAGGAAGTACCACAGATCAGAACCCAGGGAATCCGACACACCCTGGGTGCCCAGCACCCACTTAACCCTGTGCACCTCTTGCTCTAGGAGCTGATATCTGCTGTGAATCCCTAATCCCTCGAGTGCCTCCCCCTGTTCTGAGGGCTCACCCACCACTTACTGGCAAGTTGCTTTCCCAAGCCTCACTTTCACCCCTATTGCTGCTGAGACGACTACGTTAAGTCCTATCTGTGAAGACCCTTAGCCATGCCCCGCACCGGAGGCGGGTCAGATGAAGGCCCATTCCCTCTGCTCTTGTAAGGTACTGAGCTTCCATCCCAAACCACAGCCACCAGTAACAGAACACTCTCCCCACACCTGCCCCAGGCCTCACCTCTCCTTCCGCCCAGGTAGCTGATGCGGACCTGGCACTGGCCCCAGACAGCGCTTACTGCCGGATAGAGGGTCCTGCCCTTCAGTCCTCGAAAGGCTGGCCCCAGGTAGGTGCCCCCAACAGCGTAGCCCAGAGTTCCCTCCTCCATGTCCAGAACCACCAGCAGCCTCTCCGGCACCTCCAGCTGCTCACCCTGAGGTCTGGCTGGATATTGGGGGGCCCCGAACCCCTTGCTCTGATGGTATAGCTTCCCCCGACCAATGTCCCAGCCCCACGACTCGCTGTTGCTGCCCAGCAGCGCCGCATAGTGGTCAGCTTGCAACGGGGCTAGGGCCGTGGCCACGCCCACCACGGCGTGGGTACCCCTCTGTTCGCGGGGCCAGCTGATCTCCCAGGCGTGCAGGCCCCGCGAGTAGCCCTTCTTACCCCGGGCCCCATCAGTGCTCTGGGCCACGGGCCGCCGCTCAAAGCATAACCCCCCTTCCTTGACCTCGATGTTCTCAGAGCAGTCCTTGGGGTTCCAGCCGTGGCGCTGTTGGGCTCCCAGATCAGGAGGGGGAGCAGACAGCAGCTCCTCCAAGCCCTCGGGACAGGAGAGGTCAGGGTACAAGGTCTGTGGGGTGGGGGTGCTGCTGCTGCCCCCTGCCAGGGCCGTCTGGCCCATGGAGGTTTGGAGCTGGAGGACTCCCGGAGTCTTGCTGGGGCGCCTCTCTTCTGAAAGTTGATCTCCCGCTCGGGACTGATCTGGAGAGGAGTTGGGAGAGAAGAGGGTGTAAAGGACACGAACCTGGCGGGGACTCCCCACGGAGGCGCCCCATCTTTTCACGCATGTTTGCCCACCACCCCTCCACTCCCTCTTCGCTCCCCCAAGGCTCTTAGGCCCATCACCCTGCCCTCGCCCATCTGTCCCGCTCTGCCGAGACTCTCCCCGGTTCGCCTGCTTTGGACCTCTCCGGGGGCCGTGCCCTTTGCCCACCTCGTGCCCCGTCACCGCCCCCGCACCTCGCTGGGCTTCCCAGGCCGGGAGGTCACGGGCCCTCAGGAGGAAGCCGGCCGAAGAGAGCCGAGCCGGGTAGGGCGCAGACTGCCGGCCGCTTCCGCCTCCAGCACCTCCCTCGGCCTCGCCCCGCCCCAGGCCCCGCCCCCACGGAGGCCCTCGGGGGCGGTTAACCCTCTCGTCGCCGCCCCCAGGTCGCTCTCCGCCCCTTGGCCACCCCACTGCGGGGCTCCTCGCGCGAGGTTTACACTCCACTCAGGTCGAGGCCACGCCCCGCCAAGAGGACCCGTCCCCCTAGGGCCCATTACCGGACGGTTAACCTCTGGCCCCCGCCCCGAGGTCCCGCCCCGCGTGGAGCCCCTCCTGGGTGGTTAACCCTCCTTGGCAGCCACGGAGTCAGCACCAGGCAGTGGAGCCTCAGAATGGATTCCGATGGTATCATCGCCATCGTCCAGACCTTTGAGCCGCTTGAGCGGCTCAACTCCCGAGCCCCTGGAGATGAGGGGCATGGGGTCATGGAGGGGCTTTCATTGTGCTGACATCCATTTCTGTGTCCTTTAGATTATGGGTCACTGTTTCTGGATTGGTCTCTTTCTGCCCCACTTATGAGTGAGTCTGTTCTATGCCTGAGGCTTTGAACTGGGTTTTCAGAGGTACGTGTCCTAGGTTTTTGTGCTGTTCTAAGTCTTCATCTTGGATGTCAATCCATTCCTGAGCTATGGGTCTAAAGTGGTGGAATATAGTGGTTAAGACTGGTTAGGAGTGAAGCTGTGTCACTAATTAGCTCTATGACCTTGGGGAGTTTGCCAAACTTCTCTAAACCTGTGTTCTCTTATGTAAAATGGGAATAACGATAGTACTTACCTCACAGGATCGTTGTGGAGTTGAAATAGCCCAGGTAAAGCACTTAGCACAAAGCCTAGTACCTGTTATGCAATCACTAAGCGTAACTATTATTGTTAACATTTACTCTATAGAAAGGCAATGTAATACAGTGATGACAGATGCCAAATGTAGAGCCAGACTAACCGAGGTGAATACCTGAAAGCCAGTATGCACATGACCTTGGGCAAATTACTTAACCTCCCCAGGGCCTGTTTCTTCCTCTGTAAATTGGAGATATTGGTATTTACTGCATAGGGTAGAGTGAGGATTCAGTGAGATTATATATATATGTAAACTCAGAGCAGTTTCTGGTTCAAATTTAATCATTTGTGCTATAAGCACTGAAGATGCAACAGTGAATCCCGAGAAGGTTACAGAGACATTTATAAAATAGTTAATCATGTAGTAGAGGAAATTATGGAGATATAAAGAAAGTATTATGGGACCCAAAAGGATGGGACTCCTAACCAGGGATCAAACAGTCCTGGAGGAGCTAACACTGGGCTGAATCTTAAAGAATGACTAGGAATTGGCTTGAGAGGTGGTTCTGCAGAATGGGGGTTGGATTCTGGGTGCTGCATGGAGAAGACATTCTCCAGACAGAGGGGTCAGCATGAGAAAAAAAAAAAGCCAGAAGCAGTAGATGGGAAGGCTTTAGGGTCCCTGCAACTAGAAAGGAAGCGTGAGAGGCAAGCCTAGAGAAATCAGTGCCAGATGACAGTGGCCTTGTAGGTCAAGTTAAGGGATGCAAACGTTCTCTCGTAGGACACGCCGGTAGTGGGGAGACACATAGGAGGGAAGCAAGAGAGGAACATGGCCAGATACTCATTTTAGAAAAACTCTCCTGGTGGGGCGCCTGGGTGGCTCAGTCAGTTGAGTGTCCGACTTCGGTTCAGGTCATGATCTCACATTCGTGGGTTCAAGCCCCCCATCCGGCTCTGTGCTGACAGCTCAGAGCCTGGAGCCTGTCTTTGGATTCTGTGTCTCCCTCTTTCTCTGACCCTCCCCCGCTCACACACACTCTCTCAAAAATAAATAAAACATTAAAAAAAAGAAAAAGAAAAAAACTCTCCTGGGGGTGCCTGGCTGACTCAGTCAGTAGACCATGCGACATTTCATCTGGGGCTCATGGGCTCAAGCTCCACATTGGATGTAGAGATCATTTTTAAAAAATTATTAGAGGGGCGCCTGGGTGGCTTAGTCGGTTAAGCGTCCGACTTTCGCTTGGGTCATGATCTCGCGGCCCGTGGGTTCGAGCCCCGAGTCGGGCCCTGTGCTGACTGCCAGCTCAGAGCCTGGAGCCTGTTTCAGTCTGTGACTCCCTCTCTCTCTGACCCTCCCCTGCTCACGCTTTCTCTCTCTCTCTCCTAGAAATAAATAAAACATTAAAAAAAAATTAAAAAAAAATTATTAGAAAAGCCACCAAGGCACAGCAAATGTAGGGGAGGCTCAAGGGAAACAGGACTAGAAACAGAAACTGGTTCCATCAGCCTAGGTGACAAGTGTCAAGGGCCTGAAATAAGGTAGTAGAAATAAGGAAGAAAAGAATTCAAGAAACACAAGAAACTGCAAGATTTGGTGGCTGATACATGCTGAGGCGAGAGAAAGGGAGGTTTCTAACCTGGAAGACTGTTGGAAGGTGGTACCACTAATAAAGATGGAGATGACCGAAAGCGACTAGAACGGGGCTGGGGGGGTGGGGAGAAGATGAGTTCACATGAGGACATGTTTTTCAGGAGCCTGAGCAACAACCAGATGGAACCATTCAGAACACACGTGAAAACTGCAGGTCTGAAGGGGTAGTAAGAGGCCTGGGCTGGAGATATAAATGTGGGAGGTGACGCAGCCGTTAGTCAGAAGCTGAACTATGAGAATCGCAGACGGGACCCAGAGACCATGCAGACGGACAAGAGGGTTAAGGAGGACACAGGGAGCAGAAAATGCAAGTTTGATGACTCCCAAGAATTGTTTGGTCATTAGCAACTTCAGCAAGAGAGCATGTGTGGGTTGTGGGAGGTGGGAGTCTAGACCGAAGGGGCCGAACTGGCACTTTCTGTATATTAGGAGCTGTGCTATACGCTTCACATTTCGGGGGTGATAGAGAGTTGGGAGAGATAGGGTGACGATCATGTCTCATAGTCAAAATTACCCTTGAAAATCCCTCATTCACCCCATCCATTAAATACAGCTATGTTAGTTCTGTGTAAAACACAGTATGTGGCAGTATTCTGCAATGATGTATGAATAAAATTGTATAATTTTAAAGACAGAGGAAAACATATTAAAAGGAAAGATGTGACCCTGAATACCCGTCATGCACCTAACCTAGATATTCTTGCCAGTGTGATGACAAAAATAAGGACGTCATCATCATGGATGGTGGCCTGTGATGAATATTAGTGCAGGAGCTGTGTGATAACCGGGTGGATGAAGGCTTAGGGGACGAAGAGCAAGCCTCGGTCATGGCCGACTCGAGTTCAAGGTTCAGAAGTGCACCTGCTCAGCTGCTTGTTGTTTAAAACATGGTATTCACCAATTACTACCCCTGAATCGTGAACTACCCACTCAAACATCTGGGGTGTGTGTCTGTGGGTGTGTGTGTGTTTTAGAGAGACCGTGCAAGTGGGGGAGAGGGGCAGAAGGAGAGAGAAAATCCCAACCCGGTTCCACACTCAGCACCAAGCTCAAGGTGAGGCTCAAATCCACAACCCTGGGATCATGACCTAGGCCAAAATCAAGAGTGGGACGCTCAACCAACTGAGCTACCCAGTCCCCCCTCAAACAGGTGTTGATAATAGCTCCAAATATTACATAATGCTACATTTTCTTGTTTTATCTTTATTTTTTAAAGTTTATTTATTTATTTTGAGAGAGAGAGCACAAGCTGGGAAGGGGCAGAGAGAAGGAAAGACAGAATCCCAAAGCAGGCTCCTGCTGTCAGTGCAGAGCCTGATGCGGGGCTCAAACCCACAAACTGTGAGATCATGACCTGAGCCAAGATCAAGAGTCAGACACTTAACGGACTGAACCACCCAGGTGCCCCTTATCTTTTTATCTTTGATTGAGATGTAACACATATAAAGTGATCTTAAGTTGTTCAGTCAATCTTCTGTATGATGAGTGACCATCACCAAAAAGATCAAGAACATTTCTAGCATCCCAGAAGGCTCCTTTTTGCCTTTTCCCTGACACCACCTGTAAAGGTTAACTCTTATTTGACTTCTATCAGTATAGATTTGCTTTGCCTCTTCAATTTCATATGATACCATATAGTGTCTACTCTTTTGTGTCTGACTTATTTTTCTCAGCGTCATGACTGTGAGTCATTTACCTTGTTGCATGAAATGCAAACTCATTAGTTTCATTGTTTTACATTACTCCATCGTGTGGACATACCACAATTCTACCTTTGATGGACATTTGTTTCCGGTGTTAGCTATTATAGAGAAAGCTGCTATGTAGAGTATTGTAGAAGTCTTTTAGTGGACCTAGGCACTCAACTTTTGTTGGGTGATACTTATATGCAGAATTGCTGAGTTATAAGGAATACAATGTTAACCACAAGTGATTTTCTGGTTTCTCTTCATAGATTTTATTCAGAAATTAAATCATTCAGGTGTTTCAGCATTTTTGCAGCAACTTTAACCTATTTGTGAAGATTCGATTTGGTCTTCCTTTCCTGTTCATCATATTTTTGTCTTCTGGGATGATTTTATGAGTTCCTAAAGCTTTGTATTAGTGTTTCTCAGTGGCTCTCAAGAGGTTCTTCAGAGGCTCCTGGGTGACTCAGTTGGTTAAACGTCTGATTCTTGATTTCAGCTCAGATCATAATCTCTCGGTTTGTGAGTTCAGGCCCCATGTCTGGCTCTAGTCTCTCTGTCCCTCCCCTGTGCTTTCTGTCTCTCTCTCTCTCTCTTTCAAAATAAACTTAAAAAATTTTTTTTAATGTTTTAAGAAAAAAACTTCTTCAATTTTTTAAAAAGTTTTTTTTAATGCTTATTCATTTTTTGAGAAAAAGAGAGAGACAGAGCACAAGTGGGGGAGTGGCAGAGAGGGAGGGAGACACAGAATCCAAAGCAGGCTCTAGGCTCTGACCTGTCAGCACAAAACTTGATGCAGGGGCTGAACCCACAAACTAAGAGATCATGACAGAGCCGAAGTCAGTCACTCAACTGACTGAGCCACCCTGGCGCCCCTTCAATTTCTTCAAAAGCAAGCAGGGGAAAGGCAGAGATTGAGAGAGAGAGAGAGAAAGAGAATCTCAAGCAGCTCCACACTGTCAGCATGGGGCCCCATGCAGGGCTAGAACCTGTGAACCGTGAGATCATGACCTGAGCCAAAATCAAGAATCCAACGCTTAAACAATTGAATCACCCAGGTGCCCCTTTTAAAATTTTAAATGTTTATATCTATATATATATAGAGAGAGAGAGAGAAAGAGAGAGAACCAGTGGGGGAGAAGCAGAGAGAGAATCCCAAGCAGGCTCCATGATCAGTGCAGAGCCCAATGCAGGGTTCGGTCCACAACCATGAAATCAGGACCTGAGCTGAAATCAAGAGTCAGACACTTAACCGACTAAGCCACCCAGGCGCCACAGTGTGTTTCACTTCTCTGTCAATAGAAAACCCTTAAAATCCTAAACACATTCTTCCCAACATGCATGAACTGTTTTAACCTTGATTGTTGCCATGACAGTTTAATAGAAGTGATGTAACTGGCAATACTGGAGAATATCCAACTCTTCCAACTCCTTACCACGTTTATTATTTTTTTTTACTTTCTTAAACTTTTTTTTAAATGTTTTTATTTCTGAGAGAGAGAGAGAGAGAGCGAGAGCAGGGGAAGGTCAGAGAGAGAGGGAGACATAGAATCTGAAGCAGGCTCCAGGCTCTGAGCTAGCTGTCAGCACAGAGCCCGACGCGGGGCTCAAACCCACAAACCGTGAGATCATAACCTGAGCTGAAGTAACCGTGAGATCATAACCTGAGCTGAAGTCAGACGCTTAACCGACTGAGCCACCCACCCAGGCGCCCCTCCTTACTACGTTTCGATTAGGGTCAGCTCTCTGGGGCCCCATGTCAGGCTCTGTGCTGACAGCTAGCTCAGAGCCTGGAGCCCACTTCAGAATCTGTGTCTCCCTCTCTCTCTGACCCTCCCCTGCTCACACTGTCTCTCTCTCTCTCAGAAATAAAAAAAATTAAAATAAAAAAAATTAAAAAGAAAAGATTAGGGTCAACACTCATGGCTCTGGGAGTCAGAGCCTCATGCATGTGGCTGAAAATCATGCTTAGGTCAGCAAAGTGAAGGACGGGGTGATGTTGGAAGGGCAGCCTTCGATGACTTTAAGAGCAGATTCATAAAGAGCGTGGTACCTCAGGTGGTACGCCAAGGCCTTCCTCTATGAGGTCTCACTTGACTTCTAGAATGTAGAACTGTAAATCCCAACTGTGTAAAGTGCTGCAGTCACCTAGCACTTTGCATTTGATTGCTGGAGCACAGGCAGATTGTTTGGTTTGGTTTTGTGTTTTAGGGCCCTGGCATTTGTATCCTGTTGAACATATCTGGTTTATTAAGTACAGGGCTGCACCATAACAGTGAGGGAGAATGGGGGTCACCAAGGTCATCGAAGGTATTCAATCCAGGGCGTTGTGTTTCTAGTTTGGAACTAAGAAAGCAGTTGGGCGTTTTTCCTCCGAAGATACCAGCCTCATTCTAGTCTAAAAGATAGCCATTTGGCCAATAATTGTTTTTAGTAGCTCTGGGTGGGTTTTACTCCCTCTTCTCCACAGACACAACCTCACTGATGGTTGGCGTGGGTTGTTGTGTTTTTTTTTTAATTTTTAAATGTTTATTTAGTTTTGAGACAGAGAGAAACAGAATGTGAGTGGGGAAGGGGGAGAGAGGGAACAGTGAATCCGAAGCAGGCTCCAGGCTCTGAGCTGTCAGCACAGAGCCCGACGCAGGGCTCAAACCCATGAGATCAAAACCGTGAGATCATGACCTGAGCAGAAGTCGGAGGCTTTACTGACTGAGCCACCCAGGCGCCCCACAGTTGGGGTGTTTCAAAAGTTGAATTGGTTTCAGGGCACCTGGGTGGCTTAGTGGGTTAAGCGTCCGACTTTCACTAAGGTCATGATCTTGTGGTTCGTGGGTTCGAGCCCCGCGTCCGGCTCTGTGCTGACTGCTAGCTCAGAGCCTGGAGGCTATTTCAGTCTGTGACTCCCTCTCTCTCTGACCCTCCCCTGCTCATGCTGTCTCTCTCTCTCCTAGAAATAAACAAAACACTAAGAAAAAAAAAAAGTTGAATTGGTTTCTAAATGTTAGGCCATTGTCACCTGGTTTTGAAATCCTTCCATTTGAAGCTGTCTTCTTCCCTAGTAGGAGGTCTGAACTAGGAGACCAAGAGATTTTCTCCCCCTCCCCCTCCCTTTTTTTGCCGCATACTGTCACTGTCCAGTTCATACATCTGGTTCCTTTCTTCCAGGAATCGACTGAGTGCTCCTTGAGTCTTCATTAAAGGTTCAGCACATGTACTTCGGTAGCCGTTGCAAGAACTTGATGACCTACCTGGCTTCACAAATCTGTTCAACCTCGATTGCACGTGTGAATTTCCTGAGGTCATATTTATGTGCCCCCTGGGAGGTGGACATACCACCCCTTGGTAAATGGTTGGATTGCCTTCACATGGGTCGTGTTATACGTCAGAGGCATCTGAAAATTCTAGAATCTAGTTCTAAAAACAAAACACTGGAGTCGCAGTCAGCCTCCTAAGCTACAGGCACTGAGAGGCCCGAACCAGAGCCAAAGAGAACGTGGCCTAATCTCCCATCCGACACTCGCGCGGAACGGTGCCTGGCAACCTTCTGCCCTGATTTAATAAATTCACGTCAAGCGCGTCACCGATGAAACACCACTGTATCTCATTAAATCCTCACATTAAAGATAATCCCAATTTTTACAGATCCGTAAACCGCGGCTTGGAGAGGTTAAGCGACCCGCCCAGGACTACAGAGCTGGTCAATGACGGGATTTAAAAACGGGAAGCCACTCGCAAAGCACCACGGCGGCGACGCCAAGGCGACCGCAGGAAAACCTGTCAGCCCCGGCGAGACGCCCCGCCCCGCGCTGCTGCCGCGGGCGCTCGTTTGCGCGTTTCGTCACCCCGGCGGAACCCGCGGAGGGCGGGGCGCTGACTCCCGGCCCGCCGGCGGTCACGTGGGCGGCCACGTGAGCGGGCGAGCGGGCGGGCGGCCGGGGCGAGGGCTCACGCGCCCCCCAGCGGCCGCGCCCGTTGCCGGTGCTCCTCGCGTCCCACCTGGCCGCCCCGACGGAGGTAGGAGCCCTCGAGCTGGCGCCCTCCCCGGCGCCGCCCCCGCCAACCGCCTTCCGGAGCGTCTGGAAAGTTCTGCGCCGGGACAAAGGCCCCAGGGCGGAAGCGAGGGCCTGAAGCTTGAAGGCTTAGGGCCTCTTAAGCCGGTTGCTGAGAGGCGGCTCCTGGCCAGAGCTCCAGAGGCGGGTGGAAGGGACTGTTGCTTCTGCCAGTTTCCAATTTGAGGCTTGCATCCGGAGCGTCTTTACATTTAAAGGGCCCTCTTCCTCCATCAACAAATTTTCCTTTGCATCCCCATGTCTCTTCTTTCAGGGTAGGAGGTAATGTCTAGGGACCCTCCACAGGAGAGAATCTTCTAGTTCACCTTGGAGGAGGGAGGCCAGAAGTCAGAGACACACGGGTTCTGTTAGAAACTAGCATAAAGGAGTGCACCTATAATAATAACCACAACCTCTTTAGCGCTGCAAAACTCACCTAGACCCGGCAGGCATCAAAGGTCTTGCTTGCCAAATATACGCTTTTTTGTTTGTTTGTTTATCCTTGCTAATTTTAAAAATACTGACTTTTTCTAGTTTTCCTTTATGTCCTGCAGGGCCTCTACTCTAGTGAATCCTAAGGGGGTGTCTCCTGGCTTGTCCTTGGTTCATTCGTCCTCACATTTTCTCAAAAGGGGAAGCCTGCAGGAAGCAAGGACTTTTCTTCTATATGTGCAAATCCAAACTGAGGGAAGAGTGTCTTTGATTACTTTGTTTTTAATGTTTAGTTTTGAGAGACAGAGAGAGTGGGGGGAGGGGAGGCAGAGAGCAAGGGAGACCCAGAATCTGAAGCAGGCTCCAGGCTCTGAGCTGTCAGCACAGAGCCCGATTCGGGACTCGAACCCACAAACCATGAGATCATGACGTGATCTCAAGTCAGATGCTTACTGACCAAGCCACCCAGGCGTCCCTGTCCTTGATTACTTTTTTGAAAACATTTTTAATGTTTACTTATTTTAAGAGAGAGAGAGCACGAGCAGGGGAGGGACAGAGAGAGGGAGACACAGAATCCCAAGCAGGCTCCAGGCTCTGAGCTGTCAGCACAGAGCAACATGGGGCTTGAATCCACAAACCGTGAGATGGTGACTGAGCTAAGTAGGATGCTTACCTGACTGAGGCACCCAGGCACTCCTGTCCTTGATTACTTTTTAAAAGCACGTTTAATATACATTCAGCCAGCGTGGCTTCGTGGGTTAAGGGTCCGACTCTTGATTTCAGCTCAGGTCCTGACCTCACGTTTGGTGAGATGGAGCGCCCATCAGGCTCTGTGCTGACAGCAGGGAGCCTGCTCGGATTTCTCTCTCTACCTCTCTCTGCTCCTCCCCGACTTGTGTGTGTGCATGCACACACACACTCTCTCAAAACACCCCCGAAAAAAAATTAAAAATTGATTCAGCCAGCGTTTATTAAACATTTACTATGTGGCATGCACTGTGCCAGGCTGCAGGATGCAGAACGAAACTCAAGGTCTGCTGGAGTTAGAAGAAGCCAACATAGAAGTCCTTGATGACATCTAGACTGGAGCAAACCTGATGATCAAGACAAATTGTGTTTGGGGCCTGGGTGGCTCTGTCGGTTAAGCATCTGACTTCGGCTCAGGTCATGATGTCGCGGTTCATGGGTTCAGCCCCGCATCGGGCTCTGTGCTGGAAGCTCAGAGCCTGGAGCCTGCTTCAGATTCTGGGTCTCATTCTCTCTCTGCCCCTCCCCCACTTGTGCTTTGCCTCTCAAATGCAAAAAAAAAAAAAAAGACAAATTGTGTTTACTCCCATCAAGGAAAGGCAGGGAACTGTAAGAGGGGATCCTAATTTATTTATTCTTTTTAAATTTTTACCGTTTTATTTTTGAGAGACAGAGCATGAATGTGGGAGGGGCAGAGAGAGAGGGAGACACGGAATCCGAAGCAGGCTCCAGGCTCCAGGCTGTCGGCACAGAGCCCAACACGGGGGTCAGACTCACGAGCCTCGAGATCATGACCTGAGCCTACATCAGACGCTTAACTAACTGAGCCACCCTGGCACGAGGAGATCCTAATTTAGATTCCAGATCAGGAAAGACCCTTCTGAGGAAAGGCTGAAGCTTAGACAAGGAGCAGGAGGTAGTTAAGAGAAGAGTTCCACAAAGAAGAAGAGTAGAAGTGAAAGCCCTGAAGAAGGAAGGGGCTTCGTGGTGGGAACACTGAAGAGAGGCCCATGTGGTCCAGCTGTGGCTCGGGCTCAACAGTGAAGGTCAGAGAGGGGTCACAGCAGACGGAGAGAAGTAGATGGATTCAAGGTACTTTTGGAGGTAGAATGGGTCACACTCTGTGATACGTTCACTGGGAGGCCACCGGGGGAAAGTGTCAGGGAGAAAATAATGACAAGGATGACCCCGAGGTTTCTGGGTTGAACATCTGAATGGTGATCTAGGGAGCAGTGAAGAAAAGCAGAGGTAGGGGACATTTACAGGATTTGTTTGGGGATGTGTTTAGCTGGTGATGTCTGCAAGTTACATAAACGGAGAAGTAGGAGGTGAGCTGTATCAGCCTGGCACTGAGTAAAGAGTTCTTGGTTGGAAATAGCACTTTGGAACTAAGTGGGACACGCACTGGTGTGCCGAAGCTGGGTTATACAGGCTTGGGAGAGCTGATGATTTTCTGTGAAATCTGTAAGCCAAGCCAGTTGTTAAAGGCTGCCATTATTTTTAAAATATTGCCATTATTTTAAAAAAAGTGTGTAGACAGAAATTTAAATAAATTACGTTTCATTTTATAATTATTTTATGATTTTATTTTTTAGGTAATCTCCATACGCAGTAGAGGGCTTGAACTCACAACCCCAAGATGAAGCATGCTCTACCGAGTGAGCCATCCAGGCGCCTCTAAATAAATTGAAGTGTTCTTAAAAAAGGTTAAAAAGGTACTTACAAGTCACCACTTTCTAATTACTTTACTATATTTTTATATTAGTTTGCTGAGGCTGCCACAACAAAACACTGGGGATTTTGAAAACAGAAATTAATTTTCCTCACAGTTTTGGAGCAAGAAGTCCAAGAGCAAGGTGCCACGAGTCAGATTGGATTTGGGCCTGCCCTAAAGGTCTCATTTTATTTATTATATTTTTTTGATTAATTAATTATTTTATTTATTTTTGAGAGGGAGAGACAGAGCATGAGCAGGGGAGGGGCAGAGAGAGGGAGACCCAGAATCCAAAGACAGCCTCCAGGCCTTGAGCTGTCAGCACAGAGCCCGACACTGGGCTTGAACCCACAAACTATGAGATCATGACCTGAGCCAAAGTCGGATGCTTAACCGACTGAGCCACCCCGGCGCCCATAAAGGTCTCCTTTTAATGTCCTCATCACTTTACAGGGTCTATTTCCAAACACAGTCACGTTCTCAGTAACTGGGAGTTAGGACTTCAAAACACGGATGAGGGAGCAAATTCAGCCCCTAACAACATTACTGTTATCTATACTCCTGAAGTTGTTTACCTTGTAAAGTCAGCCATGGTGGGAGTGTGCACACCAGAGGAATCAGCAAATGCTAAAAATTAAGGCTTTTTGTTCTTCCTGGAGCACCTGTTGTTTACCAGCACACCACACATCACAACTATAGGTGTTACGTGGTCTCCAGAGTATAATTTGAATCTGAAAAATGAGAAACACACCCCCCCCAGCACTATTTTGCTGAAGTGCTTTAAACTATGGCTGGTACAGGTACAAAGAAAGTCTCCGTGTCAACGATTTGCAAAGAGAAGTGTATCAAGATGCTTTCCACTGAGTCACAGAAACTCCTGACGAAGTTCATAAGGGCATTTATTATTTCACATAAACATAAATCCTGGGGTAGTGGGGGCTTCTGGAAAAGAGGGTTCCTTGCTGTTAAGAGAAAGCAGCAGAAAGGAATGAGCCAGTTAAGCACCCACCATCAGCTCAGGTCATGATGTCCCAGCTCTTGAGTTTGAGCCCTGCATCTCTGCTGTCAGCACAGAGCCCTCTTCAAATCATCTGTCCCCTTCTCTCTCTGTCGCACCCCCCGCTTGTTTCCCCTCCCTCAAATAAACAAATGAACTTAAAAAAAAAAAAAAGAAGAAGAAGAAGAAGACAGCACTCCAGACTGGGTCCTGGAAGACATAGTGGAATGGAAAGATCAGCCAATTTTGAGGCTCAGCTCTAGCTCTATCTAATGGACATCTTCATGTGGATGTTAACTATCATTTCAATCTCAGTAAGTCCCAAAGAAATTAATCATACTCCACAGCTCCAAGTTCAGACCTCTCTATTCCTTTTGGAGTCAATACTATTTTCTCAGGAACCCTATAGTCCTCTTCTCCCTACCCTACATCCGTTAGCTGTTGAGGACTGTTGAACTTTCCTCTTCATCCCTCCTCCTTGCTCCAGGCCCTTATCCTCCTTAGCTTCCTGATCTTTCTGCTTCAAGATTCTTCCACCTTCAATGAATCATACACACACACACACACACACACACACACGGTGTATGATAAACTATGTATAGTTTATATATTATATGTATATATAAACTATGTATAATTTATATATATAACCTATATTTTCTATTTTAAGAACTTACCATCTTTTTTAAAAAATATATTTATTTCTAGGAGAGAGAGAGAGACAGCGTGAGCAGGGGAGGGTCAGAGAGAGAGAGAGACACAGACTCTGAAATAGGCTCCAGGCTCTGAGCTGGCAGTCAGCACAGAGCCTGACGCGGGGCTCGAACCCACAAACTATGAGATCATGACCTAAGCGAAAGTCGGATGCTCAACCGACCAAGCCACCCAGGCGCCCCAAGAACTTACCATCTTAAAATTTATTATTCCTCCACTTCTCTCTATTCAATAGACAGGCTACTTTATTAGAACTAATAAGGTAGCAGGATACATGACATTTAGAGAAAAACCAATAGTTATGACAGTGTGGTACTAGAACAGAAATAGGGAGGGAGGGAGGGACGTAGATAGATAGATAGATAGATAATCCATGGAAAAGTAGTCCATATCACATATAACATATAGATGATAAGGATGGTATTTCAAATCAGTAGGAAAGATGGGATTATTCAACAAATGATGCTGAGAATATTGGCTCCTCTTTTGGCAAAATGTTAGATCCCTACCTCACCCTATATACAAAAATTATTGTGGATGAATTAAGGACTTAAAAATGTAAATACTAGAAGAATATACAAGAGAATATTTTTATAACCTTGGGGGTGAGAAAGGGTTTTCTAAACCAGACACACAATTGACAAGCCTTATGGAAGAGATGGACAGTAAAGACTACATACAAATGTCAAATTACTGTGAGACAACACTCTATAAACCAAGTGATAGGACACCCAGGAAAATATTTTCAGCGTGTAAAAAACGTTAATGTATCTGTGTATCATTTTCAAATATGCCCACAAATTCTTTGATACTTCTCCATCCAAGAGGTGGAACTTAATTCCCTTCCACTTGAGTGTGGGCTGGATTTAACAAGTACCTCATAAACAATACAATAAAATGGAAGTGGTCATATGTGACTTTGGAGATTAAGTAATAAATGGCTCAGTGGCTTCCTTCTTGGTCTCTTTCTTTCTCGGATCACTTGCTCTGGAGAAAGCCAGCTGCCATACTGTGAAGACACTTGGGCGGCCGTATAGACAAGCCCATATGGCAAGGAAGTATCTTGCCAACAGCCGTATCAGTGAGCGTTCTTGGAGGCAAATCTTCTGGCTTCAGTCAAGCCTTCAGAATGACTGAAGGCCCAGCTAACAGTTGGTAGAAAACCAACTAAGCCACTCTTAGATTCCTGATCCACAGAAACTGAAATAAAGAATGTCATTTTAAGCTACTAATTTTTTAGATAATTGGTTATAATCAGTTAAGAATTGCATTTGGCTACAATATAGATCCCCCAAACCTAGTGGGTTCTCTCTTTTATAAAATAAATCTGGAGAGGCAATTCAGGGTTGGTATAACAGTTTCATGAGATTTTGTGTTTTGTAGGCTGCTCTCTACATCTGTTCTGGTACCTCAGCGTGTGGTTTATAATCTCAAGGTTATCTCATGGTCCCATGTAGTTGCTACAAGTCCAGCCATCACATTCCTGTTTTAGACAGTAAGTAAGAGGAAAGAAAAGAGGAAAAAGGGGCTTTCTAGATGTTTCACCCAGTGACTTTCACTAACATGTCATTGACCTATCAGCAGTGGAGACTGAGAACTATTTTTTAACTGGGCACAATGCTGCCCCCATAATATAAAAGTTCTGTTAGTTAGCTCAGTAATGAGAAGACAGGGGTGCCTGGGTGGCTCAGTCAGTTAAACATCCGACTTCGGCTCAGGTGATGATCTCACGGTTCGTGGGTTCGAGCCCCGCATCGGGCTCTGTGCTGGAAGCTAGCTCAGAGCCTGGAGCCTGTTTTGGATTCTGTGCCTCCCTGTCTCTCTGATCCTCCCCTGCTCATGCTATCTCTCTCTCAGAAATAAATAAAACATTAAAAAAATAATGAGAAGACAAAACCCACTTTATAAATAAACAGTCTTAATAGACAGTTTTCCAAAGATCTACAGATGGCTAATAAACACATAAAAAAATGCTCAGCACCTTTAGCCATCAGGGAAATGAAGATCAAAGCCACAATAAGATACTTCAAATCTGCTAGGATGGCGATAATCAAAAACACAGATAGTAACAAATGTTGGTCACAATGTGGCAAAATTAGAACTCTCATATACTGCTGAGAGAAGTGCAGCCATTTTGGGAAACTATTTGGCAGCTCCTTAAAAGCTCAAATATAGAGTTACCATAGGATCCGGCAGTACCACTCCTTACATTTCCACCTGTTAGGAAAAAATTGCCAATAAATTAAGTTGAAATGTCTGAGGTCAGGTTGTATTTGTAATAGATTTTTTTCTAATAAAAATTGTTTCCTTCTGGGAATTTTCATATAATTTATTGGGGAGGATTTTATTAGGCTATTAGTAAGTGTTTATTTAGTACATAGCAAGCACTTGATAGCAGGTCGAATAAATGAATGACTAGGTTGCTACCGTAAATATTTCAGAATGAAATCTCCATGTTGGCAAAGAATAATGTCCTCCTTTGGAATCCATTCATTGTAGCATAGAAGTCAGTGTTTTGATACTAAACATATTATTTTTGTGTTGATATTAATTGGGTATGTAACCAAGAGAAATGAAAGCATATGGCCACACAAAAATTTGTACATGAATGTTCTTAGTAGCATTATTTGTAATACCTAAAGAATGGAAACAACCCAAATATCTATCAATTGATGAATGAAAAAATCAAATGTGGTATAAACCATACAATGGAATATTGCTCAGCAGTTAAAAGGGACAGAGTACTGATACATGCCATAACATATGAACCTTGAAAACATGATGTTAACGTGAAAGAAGGTAGTCACAAAGGTCCACATGTTACGTGATTTCATTTACATAAAATGTGCAAAATAGGCAAACCTGTAGAGATAGAAAGTAAATTAGTGTTTGCCAGCAGCAGAGGTGGATAGGGGGAGGGCAGGGATGTGATAGCTAAGCAACACAGGCTTTCTTTCAGGGGTAATGAAAACGTTCTAAAAATGACTGTGGTAATGGCTTCACAACTCTGAATATACTGAAAGCCACTGGATTGTACATTTCAAATGGGTGAACTTTATGGTATGTGAGTTAATAATAAATTAATTAATAAATAAATTAATAAAGCTGTTAAGGAGCATCTGGCTGGCTCAGTCACTAGAGCATGCAACTCATGATCTTAGGGTTGTAGGTTTGAGCCCCATGTTGGGTATAGAGATTACTTTTAAAAAATCTTTTATAAATGAGATAAAATAAAGCTGTTTAAAAACAGTTCTGTTAGGGGCACCTGGGAGGCTCAGTTGGTTAAGCGTCCGATGTCGGCTCAGGTCTGATCTCACCGTTTGTGGGTTCAAGCCCCACATCAGGCTCTGTGCTGACACTCAGAGCCTGGAGCCTGCTTTGGATTCTGTGTTTCCCTCTCTCTCTGCCCCTCCCCAACTCTCATTCTGTGTCTCTCTCTCTCAAAAATAAATAAACATTAAAATAATAATAATAATAATAATAATATCCATCAGGGGCACCTGGGTAGCTCAGTCGGTTGAGCATCTGACTTTGGCTCAGGTCATGATCTCAGGGTCTGTGGGTTTGAGCCCCACATCAGGCTCTGTGATGACAGCTCAGAGCCTGGAGCCTACTTCAGATTCTGTGTTTCCCTCTCTCTCTTCTCTCCTGGTTGTGTTCTGTCTACCACAAATAAATAAACATTAAAATTTAAAAATAAATAAATAAAATCCATCAACAGGAAACAGTTATAAATTACTGTATATCCATATAATGGAAGACTAGACAACTGTAAAAAAGAAAGAGGTAGATCTATGTTTAGTGATAATGAAAGATGTCTAAGACATATTATTAAATGAAAATAATTCAGTTGATGAACAGTATGAGTGATACCATTTTTGTTTTTTAAAAATCTATATTTTTGGGGTTCCTGGATGGCTCAGTCGGTAAGCGTCTGACTTTGTCTCAGGTCATGATCTCGTGGTCTGTGTGTTCAAACCCCATGTCTGGCTCTGTGCTGACAACTCAGAGCCTGGAGGCTGCTTTGGATTCTGTGTCTCCCTCTTTCTCTACTTGCACTCTGTCTCTTTCCCTCTGTTTCAAAAATAAATAAACATTAAAAAAATTTTTAATTTTTTAAATGTTTTATTTTTGAGAGAGAGATAGAGACACCGTGAGCAGGGGAGGGTCTGAGAGAGAGGAGACACAGAACCTGAAACAGGCTCCAGGCTCTGAGCTGGCTCACAGCACAGAGCCCAACACAGGACTCAAACCCACGAACTGTGAGATCATGACCTGAGCCAGTCAGACACTCTACCAATTGAGCCACCCAGGTTCCCCAAACATTAAACATTTTTTAAAAAAAAATTAAAAAAAATCTATATCTTTTTTTAAAGTCTTTTTTTGTTGTTTATTTTTGAGACAGAGAAAGACAAAGCACCAGCAAGGGAGGGGCAGAGAGAGAGGGAGACACAATCTGAAACAGGCTCCAGGCCCTGAGCTGCCAGCACAGAACTCCATGCGGGGCTCCAACCCGCGGACTGTGAGATCTTGACCTGAGCCCAAGTCAGACACTTAGCCGACTGAGCCACCCAGGTGCCCCATATCTTTTCTAATAAAGGAGAGTCATGCTGAGGGAGATCATAGACTTATATGTTCCTCTCTATACACTTCTCTATTATTTGCATTTTATTGATTGATTGATTGTGAGTGGGGGAGGGGCAGAGGAAGAGGGAGAGAGAGAATCTTAAGCAGGCTCCCTGCCCAGTATGGATTCTGACACGGGGCTCCATCTCACAACTGACCATGAGATCATGACCTGAGCCAAGATCAAGAGTCAGTCGCTTAACCAACTGAGCTACTCAGGCACCTGAGTACATTAAAATTTGCATTTTAATTTTAATGAAGTATACTTTTATAATTCAAGGAGATTCTGTTTAGATCCTTCTATGGGAATGTATGTCATCAAAGAAAGCATAGAGTATCTAGCTTTCATGACACAGCGTATATTCAGTCCTTGTCAACAAAACACAAAATAAAACCTCCAGTGATTCCTCAGTTTCCAGGATAAAGTCCAGATTCCCTAGTGTGATCAGCTATGTTTGCTGCCCCTACCTCATCCCCCAAAGCACACCTACTGTTCTTTCCAGCAGAACTCCCTGCTTTCCTTACACAAGTATTGGTTGGTCTCTTTCTCCTCCAGGCCTTACCAAAGGTGCTTCCTCTGTCTGAAATCTCTGCCCTGAGTATATGATATTTTATATACACACATACAATCAAATTATCCACTGGCACTTAGTAAAAGCTCGGGTATCATTATTATAACATGTGTCTCATTATATGGAATTACTCGTTTACTTAAGCTGTCAGTGGGTTGTAAGGTTCCAGATGATAGGGACTGTTTTACTGTTCTTGAGGGTCAAGTACTTACAACCTGGCACAGAGTGAGCGCTTCACAAAAATATGCTCAATGATACCTCCCTAATCCTTCTGTCACACCTTTTTTTCCCACCTAATATGTCTTCTTTCTTCTGGGCCAAAGAAAATCACATCCTTTCCCTTTGGCTACATCAAGCCACAAGGACTTTTCCTTTCCCCACTCCAACCATATAGTACTGTTCAACTGCCTAGCATTTCTAACCTTCTTGAGTGTTTTCATATTTACTTTCTTATTCCTCATGCAACCCCAGGGCTGAGGAAACAGGCAAAAGGGACTGTTACTGAGGGCCCTTACTGAGGGCCGCCGAAGTGCAAGGCCATTTACCCATTCTGTCTCTTTTAAACTTCTAACAATCCTTTTGGAAGTGGACATTTTTATCTCCATTTCACAAATGTGAAAAATAAACCTCAGTGACATTACATAACATACTGAGGAGCACAGAGTTATTAAATGATAGAGTGGGTTTTGAACCTGGTGTCGCTGCTACTTCCATGACATCAAGTGCACAGATTGGTCTATTAACTATATTACCTTTGCTAGACAGAGTAGGAGGTAACATGTCCTGATTTCCAGCCCACTCCATCTTCCATCAGATCACTTTGCATGTTATATAAAGTCTGTAACACACAATTCAACAATCACATGATATCTTACCTTGTTGCCCAATTGTTTTTATTTATATTAGATTCCACAAGATTGGTACTATCTCCCTTTCCCCTGGCAGGAACCGTGTCATGAATAGTAACCTCCTTGGGCCTTAGTTTCCTCTTCTTTCAAATATCTATCTCACACAAGACTGGCATGAAGATTACGTTATCGCTTGTGAAGGCATCTCACACAGTGCACAAACTCTCCAGAAATATTTCTTGAATCTCAACTTCTTTCTCATCTCCTTCAACAAGTCACACAGACCCGAGTGCCTGGGTATGGTTGTATCAGGTCTTGTTATTTATATAACAACGTTGGATGAGGCGTATTTCAGTGGGCACTTGTTGGATTTTCTCCCTTCCTAGCCCCCAAAAGGTTTGCATCAAACCAGTCCAAGGTATGAGGAAAAGTGAAATGCCCCCAAACTGGGTTTAGCAATCTACAGTGTGTTAGTATAGATTACACTCATACTCGAACCCTGTCAGTTGGTATAGCTAAGCCTATTTCACAGATGAGAAAGTAGAGTCTTAGGTAAATGGCTAGTAAACTGCAGATCTGCCGAGACTCCAACACAGACCTTAAGATGTATTGGGCCTGATACTATTTGGTAATAAAAAGAATCAAACTATTGAAATACTCAACAACTTTGATGGATCTCAGAGGAATTATGCTGACTGGGAAAAAAAAAAACCTATCTGAAAAATTTAAATACTGCATTATTCCATTTATACAACATTCTTGAAATAGCAAAACTATAGTGTTTAAGAATAAATTACTAGTTGTAAGGAATTAGAAAAAAAGGGAAGGAAGTTGCTGTGCATATAAAAGTCTAGTGCAAGGGCTTCTTCCAGTGTAATATCTTAACTGCTGGTGATCACATTAAGCTACACATGTGACAAAACTGCATAGTACTATACAAATGAGTATGTAAAACAGGTGAAATCTGAATAATGTCAACAGATTTTATCAATGTCAATTTCCTGATTGTAATTCTGTACTATAATTATACAAAATGTTCCTTTTGGGTAAAATGTGTAAATTGTATATTTGAATCCACAACGATATCAAAATAAAAATAAAATATTTTTACAAAAATTAAAAAAATAGATGCATTGGGTCTGGGCTTCTTCCACTCCACCAAGCCACCTTCAAAGGTCAACTAAGTGCAAGGCTGCGGTAGATGTAGGAACCGGACCACGTACCTTGGTATTTCTTGCTCCTCTTTCCCCTTTAGCTACTGAGGATGTTTCTTTGGAATTCACAGCACTTTTGCTTTGAAGATATGCGGTCCCTTTAACGTCTCGAGTGACGTACAAGTAGCCCCGCCCATCTCCCCGCCCCACAGCTCTGTTCCAAGCCCCACCCACTGCTTTTCGCCTTTGGCCTATGAACGCCCTGCGGCGGGTTGCGGAGCTGTCTTCCCTACGACGCTACTATTGGTCCCCTTGCCCCCGGGCAGAGCAGGTTTTGCGTTCAGTTAGTCGTGGTCCCCCAGGCGCCCTCCTCTCGGCAGTTGCCCGGCGGAAGTAGCCAAGTGTCTCGCCCCCCCTCCCGGTTGCCATAACAGCAGTACGCGACGCCTCCTTGCGCCTTTCCAGTCTTGAGAAACAATCCTTCCCGGTCGCGGCCAAGACCCCTCCGGGACCTCATCTTTAGTGGAGAAGAACCAGGGTCTGCGCCCCTTCGCAAGCGAAGGATTGGGTGGGAGGGTTGGAGCCGGCGTCAGTCTGGTGCCCCGGAGGGGACAGGGAAATGGGGTTAGACGCGTTGGGAAAGTTCAAAGAAACGAGCGGATCTGGTGTTAGGGATGGAAGGGAAGGGAGGCGTGTAGGAGGCTGGTAGGAGAATGCGGCTTAAGGGGCAGATAGGAAGAACTGGGTAGAGGAGAGTTGAGGGAGCAGGGAGGCGGAGCTCCTAGGAGGCCGTTGGAGCCTCTGTGAAGGGTAGGAAAGGCCTGGGAAGGCATCCCGAAGGGAGAGTGATCTTTGGTGGGAAGTCGGAAGTGGAAGTTGGGAGTCCAAATGAGATGCTCACAGGGATAAGGAAGGAAGCACGGTTGGGAGGAGGTCAGAGGTCAAGGGTGATGGGAAGGGGTACCCTGTCCATGGAGGCGAGGGAGCTTAGTGCTGGCCGAAGCTGAGGAGACGTTCCTTCACAGGAGGAGCACTGAGCTTGATTTGACTCTGGAGCCTTCGGCCAGGAAGAAAAATGTCAGATGAAGATGATCTGGAAGACTTCGATGCAGACCAGGATGATCTGGAAAAGGAAGAGGATGAGAAGGAGACAGAGGAGTGGGAGGAGTACAGGAAGGAGGGAGAAGACGTCTCTGAGGAAGTGCGAGCCTGGGAGCGGGGGAGCGGAGGGGTCCTAGGGCAAGGGATCCGGTTGGGTTGGAAAGGGATGCATGGCTTCCCTTCCTCTTGCAGTGGTTGCCCATCCCCCTCACGGAGGACATGATGAAGGAAGGGCTCTCCTTGCTCTGCAAGACCGGCAGTGGACTGGCTCATGCTTATGTCAAGCTGGAGGTTAAAGACAGGTGCCTTTATGGGGGACCAGAAGAGGCCTGAGGTTGTAGGATCCAATTTCCTTTCTCACCCTCTTTCCTGGGAGCCTCAGCTGGGAGTTTGGATCCCTCTTACCTTGGCCAGTGCAAGGGAAGAGTAGAATTTACTTTTCTTGAGCCCTGTGACTCCCTCAGAGCTGTCCTGGGGAATTGGAGCCTGTGAGGATATGTTGGGGGATTCCTCCTGGATTCCTTCACTCATCCTTCACAGTGTTGGCTCTTCGCCGAGAAAAAAAGGCTCACTGTTAAGACCACTCCCGTCTGTCACTCATTCTTCTCTGCATTATAGGCCATCTCCCTATTACCCTCTGCTTTAGCACCTCCACCAGTCCGTGCTGGATTCTTTTTTTTTTTTTTTAATGTTTTAATGTTTTAGTTATTTCTGAGAGAGAGGGAGAGAGAGTGTGAGCAGGGGAGGGTCAGAGAGAGAGGGAGACACAGAATCTGAAGCAGGCTCCAAGCTCTGAGCTGGCTGTCAGCACACAGCCTGATGCGGGGCTCGAACCCATGAACTGTGAAATCATGACCTGAGGTGAAGTTGGGAGGCTTAACTGACTGAGCCACCCAGGCTCCCCATTCTGTGCTGGATTCTTAACCCTAACTCTAGCCTCTGCCACCTCCTAGGGATCTGACAGACATCCAGTTGTTGCGTTCCTACATCCATCTGCGCTATGTGGATGTGTCTGAGAACCACCTGACAGACTTGTCCCCGCTCAACTTCCTTACACACCTGCTCTGGCTCAAGGCTGATGGCAACCGTCTGCGGAGTGCACGACTGAATGAACTGCCCTACCTGCAGATTGCCAGTTTTGCCTATAACCAGATCACTGACACTGAGGGCATCTCTCACCCTCGTCTGGGCAGCCTGGATCTCAAAGGTGGGTCCTTCAGTTGGGCTACACGAGATTTTTTTCCTTCCTAGCTTGGGGCCACCAGAAGTGGGCAGCGAGGTGCTTGGCTGTGCCACACAGCAATTTGCACTCATCCATTCATTCATTCATTTATGATTTGTTATGACATTTCTATGTGGTGGGGATGTAATTGTGAACAAAACAAAATCCTTAGTCTCACGAAGCTTATGTTCTAGTCAGGGGAGACAGGCAACTGTCAACGAACATAATAAATAAGCAAATTTATATAGGATGTCAGGAGGTAATATGTGCTGTGGAAAGACAAATCCGGATAAAGGGAATAAGTAGAGGCCCAGATGCAACTTCAAACAGGTTGGTAAGGACAAGCATCATTGAGAAGCTTGATCTGAGCAAAGATTTGAAGAAGGGGAAGGAGTTAACCATGGGGATTGCTGGGCTCTCTTCATTCATTCCTCAAAGGCTTGCGTGAACATGTCCATTTGGCCCTTGTACTACCAGACCACCTGCCCCAGGGCCCTAGGGCCCCAGGGATATTAACTCTGGAGCTGTCCTTTCTGGTATCCACCTGACATGAGACAGAAAGGATGATGCAGAGGCTCCCAACATTCAGGCTTTCCTGCAGAATATCTGGAGTGGCCCTTTGAGCTCCTTGTAACTTCCTGCTCCTTAGGTAACCGCATTCGCATGGTGACAGGTCTGGACCCCCAAAAGCTGATCAGCCTGCACACTTTGGAGCTTCGGGGGAACCAGCTGGAGACAACCCTGGGAATCAACCTTCCTAAGCTGAAGAACCTCTTCCTGGTAGCTCACTGGGCTAGAGGGCGGTTGGTGCAGAAAGGTGGGCACTGCTAGGGGCCGGGATGCCTGACTTCTAGGAGGCTCAGCTACTTGCTCCATCACCATAATGATAATTTGGTGCCAGATGCTATGGGGATGCAGAGTTAAAGCAGGCGAGAGCCATCCAGCAGGGCTGATAATACATAATGCATAGGAATAGAGACAATTGCTTTGATACAAGCAGTAGCATAATTTGCTCTAACTGAGGTGCAGATATCAGGCTAAGGAAGCCACTTAAATGTCATCTTTTTGACTTGTGAGATTCTTCATTCTAGGATAGTGCGTTTCTCCTCAGTGGACCAGTAGGGACTCCTGTGCCTGGGAGTGGGGTGAAGCATCTCTTCTTAATCAGGTGGCTTTGGTGGGATGAATAGTAGGGGGTTACTGCTGACCCTTCTCTGGACTGAAAGCTTCTCCTAGTCTTCTCTACTCTCCACACCCATCTCTACCCACCTCCACTCCTCTCCTGCACCCCTCTGTCTCCACTCTTCTGACTTCTCTTCCCTGTCCCTGCTACTTTCTCTCAATCTATGTACTGTATCCTGGGGTCTAGGCCCAGAACATGCTGAAGAAGGTGGAGGGCTTGGAGAACCTAAGGATTCTCACTACCTTGCATCTCCGAGACAACCAGATTGAAACTCTGAGTGGCTTCTCCAAGGAAATGACATCACTGCAGTATCTCAACCTGAGGTACGTACCCCTCGGGCCCCACCTTGCCCCTACCCTGGACCAGGAGCAGGTTTTGACCCCATGTTCCTCCCTGGCCCCAAACTCCCAATCCGAGTCCACTCCCAGATTCTCATCTCAACCTCCACCTTGATCCTTAGCCTTCCTTTCCTTACCATCTTCTGGGTTCAGCCCTAATTGCCGCACTGAGACCTTTATAGCCTGAGACTCCTGAATCTTTATTCACTCAATCCACAGTTCTTGAGAACGTGCTATGTGCCACGGCTTTGTGCAGTGTTTTGGGAACATCTAAAGGAATCAGAGATGGCCCCTATTCTCAAAGGACTCAGAGTCAGGCTCCAATTCTTTTTTCTTGGTCCTATTGCATGTACATTTCTGCTGCCCTTTCTTCATCTCCGGGACCCTTACTCCCCGTCCCATTTCCTGCCTCTCTTCTCCTGAGCCCCACCTGGAAGGGATGACTCCCCGATAGATATAAAACACAAGATGTGCTCAGATTTGAGGAGAGAAGAATATCTGAAAGAAATTCTCTAGATAGAAAGGCACTAGGGATCAGGGGGGATTTTTTTTCAGCAATCCTTGCCTGATGGAGGATTTTTATGTATTTCTTTAAGCAAGATGTAAGGACTCTGCCTCCTTAGTCAACATGGCCAAATCCTTAAGACTGCCAATGGAAAGAGAATCTCCAAGTAGAGAGAGGCGATTACACCTTGAAGCTCCAATTCCTGCCATGGCTCCTAGTGCAATCTCTCTCTCTCTCTCTCTCTCTCTCTCTCTTTTTTATTTTTTTATTTTTTTAAGTGATTTCTTTATTTCTGGGGGGGGGGGAGAGAGAGAGAGAGAGAGAGAGAGAGAGACACCATGAGCAGGGGAGGTTCAAAGAGAGAAGGAGATACAGAATCTGAAACAGATTCTCTAAGCTAGCTGTCAGCACAGAGCCCAACGTGGGGTTTGTACCCAAGAACCATGAGATCATGACCTGAGCCGAAGCCAGAGGTGCTTAACCGACTGAGCTACCCAGGCGCCCCATCCTAGTACAATCTCTTGCTAATTAGTTCTGCCATATTGGTCTGGCAGGGTTGGGCTGGAGGGAGGGGCAGTGTGCTCCTTTCATGGACCGGTCTAGCCTGAGACAATAGAGCCTCCTCAGCGGCTGTGAGTGGGGAAAGGGTAGCTCAATGACTGGGAGATGCCTCTGGGGCCAAAGATGCTAAGCCTCCTGGAATGCACTGGAAGCCTAGCCTCCCTAGTGCTCCTAGTGAGCACCCTGTAAGGTGTAGTCACCTCCATTGAGGTTAAGACCAAAACAAACCTGATTTCCTTGAGGCATGAGGCGAAAACATGAAAACAAACACATTTTATGTTTCACAAGGCACATTAGGAGATGAAGCTTCCTGAGCAGAGCTCCCACACAGCCCCCCCCTCCCCTCCGTGAACTTAGATCCCAGCTCCTTGTCCACTGGCCTGGCTCCTACTTTCTAACCTTTGATTGGGTATCATTGACACAGAAGAAGTTTGGCTTTGCAAGGGAGATGTCCCCCCACCCCTACCCCCTAAGACAGGGCTGGGACCTAGCTTTGCTGCTCCAGAGGACAAATATGACTGGCGCGGTACAGAACAGACCGTGGAGCTCACAGGCTGCTGCAAGGGCGGACTCAGGACGGGAGCAGGTGGGAGAGACCGCCCCTCTGCAGCAAGGCCGGCACCGCTGAGCATGCCGGTGCGTGGGTTCCAGGGAGACGGGAGCCCGGTGGGACGTTCCCCCAGAGGCCCCAGTCCTGGGAGCGGGCCCCCAGAGCCCATTCTTCCCCGAAGGTGAATCCCTCCCGACCACACCGGCAGGGGCAACATGGTGACCCACGTGGGAGAGCTGGCCAAGCTGCGGGAGCTGCCCAGGCTGCGAGCCTTGGTGCTCTTGGACAACCCGTGTACGGATGACAGTGACTACCGCCTGGAGGCCCTGGTGCAGATAGCGCACCTCGAACGCCTGGATAAAGATTTCTACGAGGAGGAGGAGCGGGCTGAGGCTGATGAGATCCGTCAGAGGATGAAGGAGGCCCAGGGGCAGGAGGCTGAGCCCGAGCACGACTTCGAACCGGAGCAGCCATCCGTGGAGCAGCAGCACTTCTAGCCTCCAAGGGTAGTAAGGAAGCTGGCAAAGGCCGGGAAGAGGAGGCCGAGGGTCCGTCGGGGTAAGGGAAGCTGCTACCGGAGGAGGTGGCTGAGGCAGGGATATGACCAGGGGAACCCTTGGAGGGGCCAGGGTTAGGGTCAGGGGGTGTCTCAGGGTGAGGGGGGCCAGGAGGGCCTGGGAGGAGAATACGTCAGGAGAGAAGTGATGGCGAGAGTCTGGGAGGCTGGCAGAGACGCTGGGGGTGGGGGTGTGGCCGGCTGGAGGGCTAGGTCTGGGGGTGGTGGGGAAGGGGTGGAGGTGGTGGGTGCAGATGGAAGCTGGGCCTAGGAGAGGAGGCAGGGGGGGAAGATGTTGCCTAAAAATCTGAAGCTAAAAATAACAGGAAACAGGAGTTCGGGGAAGAAAGGAGGGGAGATGAGGCAGCAAAAGACTGAGATGAGCCCAGGGAGGTAGGTGTGGCCACGGGGCACTGGGACGGGTCACAGGCAGCGCGGGAATGCAGTAAGGCCCAGAGGCTTTGCTTCTGCCCTCTTCCTCCAGGAGATCAAATACCCTGGCCGCAAGACCCGAGAAGACTCCCAGTTAGGGGGCTGCCGTGATCGCACCCCTCATCCTGAGAGCGAGCTTGCCTTCTCTTGCCTCGCCCCTGGGAGTCCATCACAGCCTGCTGCCCGGGCTCCGTGGGGCGCCTGGGCCGCGTCTGCGGGGGCCCTGAGCCCCGCTGGGAACCTGGGTGTGTGTGGGGATGTGTATGTGGGGGGCGGGGGCAGCCTCGGGCAGGTGTAGGGAAATCAGGCCTGGATGGGCCCAGGGGATGCTCCTGGAGTTGGCTGCAGAGTTGCTGCGGAGGCGGCTGGGTGTGTTACAACAGTTCGGTTTTCAAATAAAGAGACGTTTTGATACTCTTGTGTCTGACTCGGGTTGTGAGCCACCGAGCCTGTCATGGGCTTCGCTGGTGTGAGGCTGTGCCTGTTCCCTTAGAGGGGGGCAGCGCGTGGGTGCGAGCGCGCGTGGGTGCTGGGGGCCAGGTCCGGGGTCGCCCCTAGCCCCTTCCCTGTAGCTCTCCCCCGAGCCCTCCCCCATCCCATCCCCCACAGGCCCCCCACCCGCGTTCCTACGTGCGCCTCCGCGAGGCTCCTGACTCATCGGGGGCTCCGGGTCACATGCGCCCGCCCGGCCCTATCGGCGCCTCCCCCCGCCCGCCCCCCGCCCGCCGCCCGGGAGCCGCAGCCGCCGCCGCCGCCGCCACTCCCGCTCTCTCCGCGCCGCCGCCGCCACCGCCACTGCCACTGCCACCGCCACCGCCACAGGCTGAGTCTGCAGCCCCGAGGTGAAGCCCCCGCCAGCCCCTGCAGCCCCCGCCCCCTCCTTCGCCGCCGCGCCCCACGCCCTTTCCCCTGGCCTGCGCGCATCCCTCGCTCCGTGGCGCCGCGCACCTGCTCAGTCATCCGCACCTCCCCCGGGGAACCCTCCCTCCCGGGCCTTCTGGGACCGCTCCTCCCGGTTTCCGGCGGTCGCCCCCTCCTCATTTGGGCGTCAGGCCTCTCCGCACCTGTTTCGAAGTGCGCCCTTCTCCACCCTTGCCTGCCCCTCTCCCCACGCCCCCCTTCGCCTCCGGTTCTGTCACTGTTGAGTTGGGGGTCTCCCCGGGCTGGGCATGTTTATCCTGGCACGTCGCCTGGCTTTGCATCTGGAGAAACGTCTTCTCTTCCCACTGCTCAGTGTCCCTAGACTTCTAGACCCCCTCTCTCCCATTCGTCCCCCACACCGCCCCTCTCACATTGCTTCTCGCCACTGGATGGGGGAGGGATGGGAGGAGGGGAGAATTTGTCTAGGGGCGGGGGTGGGGTGGGGGGAGGATGTGCCCTGCGTTGCCTCTCCCCCTAGATTCCTTCTCCTCCCCGCTGCAATCCCCAAGGGCCGAGGGCTTCTCTGGGACCCTCTCCCCAGACTTCTCTACTGTACATGTCTTGGGAAGAGGAGAGACGTGTTTAGGAGAGAGACTGGGATCTCGGAGTGGGGTTGGGGTGTTAAGTTGTGGGGGAGGAGGGCCCCGGAGGAGAGCCCCCAGACAGCCCATCCTCTTTTGCCAACAAGGAGAAATGCAAGCCTGGCAGCCATTACACTCTGAGATCTGGGGGAACCCCACCGCGAATCGGCGGCTCGAGCTACTGAAGGGGGCGAGGGAACCTCCGCTAGCGCCCCTCCCTCCCCACTGCGGTGTCCTCCCTTCTCACCCTTTAGATCCTACCCCACCCCCCACTGCAGTGACCTCCCCTTCCCCACTGCATTGACCTTCCCTCCCCATGGGGTGGGGGGGATCCTTTCTAAAGCCAGGACTGCAGCCAGCTCCTCCCCACCCCCCACCCACTGCAGTAACCTCTTTCCCAGCGCTCCCAGCCTCTGGCTCCTCCCACTGATCAGGCTCCACCTCTCTAAACCTCTTATCTTTCTCCTTCCTTTCCTTCCACCCAAGATCTCAGCCATCATGTCTATAGAGAAGATCTGGGCCCGGGAGATCCTGGACTCCCGTGGGAATCCCACGGTGGAGGTGGATCTCTACACCGCCAAAGGTAGTGGGCAGGGCATGGGGCTTCCCACAGCGCTCAGGTTGGGTTTCCCCTGGCCAGAGAGGGGAAGCTGCCTTGATTCCCAGTGGGGATGGGTGCTGGGCCAGGTTCACAAGCCTGGATTGCGGGGGTTGGATACTTCCTGTCCAGTGGAGCCCAGATAGGCTGATCTCTGCGTTCTGTTTTAGCGTATGGAATATACCCTGGCTGGCGGGCCTGTGTGTGCACCTGTGTGCGTGTGTGCATACGTGTGCTGCCTGCCTAGCTTCATATCTGGGGGTTCTTACCTGTACATCTGGGACCTCAACTGGGCAGATGAGGCCACTGCTTGTGCTTGTGTGTGTGTGTGTGTGTGTTAGGGAGCAGAGTGGGAATAGGGCTACATGTGGCAGGCATTTAATTTAGAGCCAGAAAGCTGGAGGAACCCCTGGTCCCTGTAGTGTCCTTCTCTGTCCCTCCTTATTTAATGTTCCTCTCCCAGGTCTTTTCCGGGCTGCAGTGCCCAGTGGAGCCTCCACTGGTATCTATGAGGCCCTGGAGCTGCGGGATGGGGACAAACAGCGTTACTTAGGCAAAGGTGGGGCCTTTTTTCTTTTCCAGACTCTCCCATCCCTCAGCTTTGTGCTCCTACCTCACACCAGCCCACATCTCCCTTCTCGCATGCACCCCACTTGTGGCCCTTCCCAGCCTGACCCAGTGCGGCCTCTCTGCCTCTCCCCAGGTGTCCTGAAGGCAGTGGACCACATCAACACCACCATTGCTCCAGCCCTCATCAGCTCAGTGAGGCCTGCTCTTTGCTGGGGGCGGTGGTGGGCAGGACGGGGGGCGGGGGGGGTGGCGGGGGAAGGAATCCTGGATTAGGGGAGGAGGGAGAAAAGGGAGAAAGGCCCACCTCTCGGGAATCAGAGTTATCAAGGGGAGTGTGGGAAGACTCCTTGCTGCCCCCTGTTCCCATGGGGTTCAGGGCCCCCCGATCCGGACAGACTGCCCTCCCGGGAACCTGGTCGGCCACTGGCCAGATGTGAAACTGTGTGGGGATGGGGTGGGGCCCCGGCATGGGGTGATGGTGGCTCTGCCCACAGGGTCTGTCTGTGGTGGAGCAGGAGAAGCTGGACAGCCTGATGCTGGAGCTGGATGGGACCGAGAATAAATGTAAGCCAGGGCCAGGGGAGAGGGAGGAGCTGTGAGCCGGCGGGCTGGAGGAGCAGACAGGGAACCGAAGGGGCCAGCGCTGTGGGCACTTCCTTAGGAAGAGGCTATCAGGACCAGCCCACCTTCCATTCTCCCCTCAAAGCCAGAGCAAGAGAAGATGAGTTTAACTGCAGTGGGAGGGAGTAACATTGGAGAGAACTTTCCAGCACAAAGAGGGGTAGCTGGTAGGAGACCATCTGTGGTCCCAAGATGTTTCGAAATAGGTGGAACTCTCTGCTCTTTCCCATCACGTCGAGAGAGAGAGAGAGAGAGAGAGAGAGAGAGTGTGTATGTGTGTGTATGTGTGTGTCCTGCTCTTTTCAGGAGAGGACTGATGAGGTGTCACATGAGTGGAGAGGGAGGAGGGGGCCCTTTTACTGGCTCCTTTCGGGGTGTATAGGTGGAGGCAAGGGCTTGGAAGCGTAGGGGACATTTTGCTCAGTGCCTTCCTCTATAATCTCCCAGCCAAGTTTGGGGCCAATGCCATCCTGGGCGTGTCCCTGGCCGTGTGTAAGGCAGGGGCAGCCGAGCGGGAATTGCCCCTATATCGCCACATTGCTCAGCTGGCTGGGAACTCAGACCTCATCCTGCCTGTGCCGGTGAGCGCCGCGCCACTCCTGTGCCTTTCCCGGGGTGGGTGGGGGCCGCATGAAACCTCGTTGAAGAGTGATGGGGGGGACGTGCATTGAGGCAGCTAAAGAGAAAGGATGGAGACTTGAGACTTTGAGTCTGGGAAGCTGGGGCAAGTGTGGGATCTTGGGTTAACATCCCAGGGGCAGAGGGGGGATGTGCTCTGTGACTTTTCTGTCCTGTGGCACCCAGGCCTTCAACGTGATCAATGGTGGCTCTCATGCGGGGAATAAGCTGGCCATGCAGGAGTTTATGATCCTCCCGGTGGGTGCTGAGAGCTTTCGGGATGCCATGCGACTTGGGGCGGAGGTCTACCACACACTCAAAGGGGTCATCAAGGACAAATATGGCAAGGATGCCACCAATGTGGGAGATGAAGGTGGCTTTGCCCCCAACATCCTGGAGAACAGTGAAGGTGAGGCCAGGAGCCCTGCTCCCTGCTTTAAGTCTTGCTCTGTCCTTGGACATCGGGAAGGGCCACATAGTTCCCCAGATCCTGAGGAGTAGGGGTGAGGGACCCTTGAGTTAACTCAGAGAGGAACCAGTACTGGGAATGGGTCCCAGAGGGGCTGCCACATTTACAGGCAGGCCTGAGAAGACAGCCTTTACCCATCCAGCCAGATCTGTTAGCAACTGTAAGTTCTTACTGGAGCCCCAAGGAATGCTGGGTGGTGGTCTAAGTGACTTGGAGCAACCATCCTGGACTTGAACTTTGTAGGATTCTCAGTTTGACGAGATACACCGAACTGTAGGGATTCTGTTCTGAGTCTAGCCCATGTCTACCCCCAACCTCTCAGGTCTTTAAGATCCCTTATTTTTCTCTGCTGCGGGAGGAGCTATATAGTGAATAGAAACAGTAACAGGAAGGGGTACCTGGGTGGCCAGTCAGTTGAATGTCTGACCCTTGATTTCTGCTGGGTTTATCATCTTGGAGTTGTGGGATCGAGCCCCGCTTTGGGCTCTCGCTGAGTGTGGAGCCTGCTTACAATTCACTCTCTCTTTCTCTTTGCCCTCCCCACTCAAATTTAAAAAAAAAAAAAAAAGAAGAAGAAGAAAAAAACAATAACAGGAAGTGGCTGAGAGTTCAGGTTCTGGGGCCAAGTTGCCTGGATTTGACCCCTGACTTGAAGAGTTACTAGCTGGTGATCTTTCTTACTCAACTTCTCTGTGCTTGCCTTTCTTGTCTGTAAAATGCAAATAACAACAGTGTCTACCTCTTAGCATTGTTGTACTTAGGTGGCATAGTTAGCCCATAATAAATGACAGCTATTTACAAAAAACATCTTATGCACAGAATTGCATTCCTATGCCCTCTTAGAAGATGGCCTGCTCTTCCCAGCCCTGGGAATGACCCCAACAATGACTGTAGCCAGGCCTCTCCCCAGCACCGGTCCTGGGCCTCGGCTCTGAATTTCTGTCTTTTTCACATTTCTCTTTGCCCACCCTTCCTGCTGGTGATCCCACTATATTCCATCTCCAGCCTTGGAGCTGGTAAAGGAGGCCATCGATAA